TATTCAGTGTTTAGCATCAACCATTTATTTGTGACAGAGAATTCACAGGTTCACCACTCTTTGGGTGAAGAAATTTCCCATCATCTCAGTCTCATAACTTATCCCTTACTCTTAGACTGTGACCCCGGTTTTTGGCCTACCCAGTCATCAGGAACATCCTTCCTGCATTCACCCTCTCTAGTTCTGTTAGAATTTTATGAGATTCCTTTTATTGTTCTAAATTCTGGTGAATATAGTACAAACTGATCCAGTCTCACTTCATACGTCAGCCCTGCCATCCCAGAAATCAGTTTAGTAAACCTTTGTTGTGCTTCCTCCAATAGCCAGAACATCCTTTCTCAAGATAAGTAGACACAGTACTCCATGTGTAGTCTCACCAAGACCTTGTGTAATTGCAGCAGGACATCCCTGCTTTTGTATTCAAATCCTCTGAATATGAAGTGCAAAAATACCATTTGCCTTTTCCACTGTCTGCTGCAGCTGCCTGTTTACTTTCAGCGACAGGTGCACAAGGGTACCAAAGTGTCATTGCACCTCCCTTTTTCTTAATCTTTTGCCATTCAGATAATAATCTACTTTCCTGTTTTTGCTATCAAAGTGGATAAGTTGACATTTTTCAAAATTATACTTCACTTGTCATGCATTTTCCCACTCACTCAACTTAGAATCACAGAATCCCTATAGCGTGGAAGCAGATGATTCAGCCCATCGAGTGAACAGCAACCCACCCAGACCCTGTAAGCCTGCAATTCCCGTGGCCAGTTCACATAACCTGCACCTCTTTAGACTGTGGGAGGAAACCAGAGCACCCTGTGGAAACCCACGTAGACACAGGGACAGTGTGTGAGGGTGGAACTGAATCTGGGTCCCTGGTGCCATGAGGCAGCAGTGCTAACCACCGAGTCACCTCACAGTTCACCTTCATGCCCAGCTTTATGAGAGCTGCAAACCTGGAGATATTAGATTTAGTTCCCTGATCTAAATAATATGTATTGAGAGTAGCTGGGATCCAAGCACTGATCCCTGCAGTACCCCACTAGTACCTGACTACCACTCAGAAAAAGACCTGTTTATTCCTACACTTTGTTTCCTGAAAACCAACCAGTACATTACTTCCAATTGCATGTGGTTTAATTTTACATGTTAATCTCTTAACTGGAACTTGATTGGAAGCCTTCTTTAAATTCAAATAAACTACATCCACTGGTTCCATGTATCAACTCTATCAGTTAAATCCTGTAACAATTCCAGTAATTTGTTGAGCATGATTTCACAGACTGTTTGATCCTGTCACTATTTTCCAAGTGCTGTGCTTGTAAATCTTTTCTATTGGACTCTAGTATTCTCCCTAGCAATGATGTCAGGATGACCAGTGTATAATTTCCCGTTTTCTCTCTACCTCCCTTTTGAAATACTCAGGTGACAGCAGCTAGCCTTCGATCCATAGAAACTGTTTCAGAGTCTATAGAGCCTTGGAAGATGCACCCACTATTTCCAGAATGACTTCCTTAAGTGTTCCGAGGTAGATTATCTGGCCCTGGGGATTTATAGTCCTTTAATGCCATCAATTTCCCTCAAACCAGTTCCTCCCTCCCACTAGACCCTGTGATCCCCATCAGTGTTCTCTTTTATGAAGACAGAACCAAAGTATGTATTTGATTGATCTGCCGTCTCTTTGTTCCTGTTTCTGACTGTAAGAGACCGACATTTGTCTTCATTTATCTTTCTCTCTTCATGTACCTACAGAGGTTTTTACAATCACCTTGTATATTCCCCACAGACTTCCTCTCATGCTCTATTTTCCTAATTTTAATTGATGCTTTGTCCTCCTTTGCTGAAATGTAAACTGCTCCCAATCCTGAGGTCTGCTGTTACTTTTGGCCAATCTTCCTACAATTCTGAGTGTTCCTCCAGACTGTTGAGACTGCACTGACCAGGATAGTGACCCTGGACTAGGCTGGCAGGATCAGGTGTCATCTGTCAGTTCTAGGAGAAGAGGCATCATCCCATTGACCAGTACCTGCAGGTCCCTGTCCACAAAGCAGGGCACTAATTTCTCCTTATCTGCCATGACAGGGGCAAATGTCACAAACTGTGCAGGGCACACCCAGACTGATAGCACTTGACCAAGTCACAATGGCCTCTTAAAGATGGCACCAGCTCCAGAAATCCTGGGATGTCCTGTTAGTGGCCAGTATTTCTGCCTACGGTGATTGGGAGAATCAGGCTAGCATTGGACAAGTGAAGTGCGATACCTCGTTATCGAGACAAATCTAGGACAACAGCGCAAGAAAACTCATTTAGTTTCACATAGAGAAACCCTCCATGAAACTTAACAAAATGCCATTTACCCAATTTCTGGTAAAATTCAGCCCATGAAGAGTCATTTAGGAAGCCTGTACTAGCACAAGTTTCATTAATGTATAAACTTGCTGTCAGCTCATAAAATGTCCATCTTTCGAGTTATCTTCACCACATTCTGATCATCATATACAGGAGGTCATTTAAAGATTTTCCCAATTGCCTATTTTTGCCTCAGTTTTTACAGTTACAAACTAATCTGCATATTTGCTTTAATAAAGCACTGTAACACTTTGAAAGTTAGCAAAATAGTTTCACAATAGACTTAATGCTATGAAAGACTACTGGGTTTACAGCCGGTGATCAGTGAACTAACACAATTGACAAACTTACTTGACCTTGCTAATCTAACTGTTGCCGAAACATAGGGCAATGATAATATTGATAGAAGTGACCTTTAGGAGACAATGTCCCACTTTCAGATTGATGATACGCTCTAGTGAGTTGTATAAAACTAACAAATTAAAGTTGCCATAATCCTACTGGACTGTGCTGTCATTATAGAATGACAACTGGTAATAGTTTAACCTAAGGGTCACATGCCTCAGGCAAGGACAGAGGTTGAGAAGGACAGTCCTTCATGGTAACCTCAGCCGATGCAGGAATTGAACCAATGCTAACGGCATCACTCTACATTGCAAATTGGCCATCCAGCCAACTGAACTAAATGACACCCTGTATATTGTACTACCACCATGCTTACTAGGATATATTCAGAACAGAATTTTGGCAGTTCAGTACTCACCATCCATGAGACACTGTGGAAGAGCAGCAGCAGAATTGCATTCCATCATATCAAAACTCTATACTCCTGCCATTTTGAGTCATGAATTGTGATGACAATTAGAGAACAAACACGGGAAGAATCTCCAAGATCATCTCTATTTTCAGTCATAGTGAATAATGTATCTGCATGCCAAGCATATGCTTTCAAAGCTGACTTGTTTGTCTAAATGGCTGTGTATGGGGATGGTAGTTTTTAAAATTCATTTATGGGATTAGGACATTGCTGGCTGGGCTGGCATTTATTACCCATCCCTAGCTGTCCTTGAGAAGATGATGGTGAGCTGCATTCTTGAACTGCAGCAGATGTGTGCTGTAGGTCGACGCACAATGCTATCAGAGAGAGTGCCAGGACTTTGACTCAGTGACAATGAAGGAATGATAATATATTTCCAAGTCAGATGGTGAGTGGTTTGTAGGGCGGAACGTGCAAGTGGTGGTTTTCCCATGTATCTGCTGCCGTAGTACTTGAAGATGGAAATGGTGGTGGACATGGAAGATGTGTCAAGGACACCTGGTGAATTCTGCCGTGTGACTTGTAGATGGTACATATTGTTGCTACTGAGCATTTGTGATGGAAGGACGGTATGTTTGTGGATGAGGTGCCAATCATGGGAGCTGCTTTGTCCTGGATGGTGTCAAGTTTCTGAGTGATGGTGGAACTGCACTCATCCAGGCAAGTGGGAAGTATTCTATCATACTCCTGAATTATGCATTGTAGATGATGGACAGGCTTTGGGGAGTTGAACAAATTAATTTACAAAACTTGCTTGGTCGAACCTATTTTATAGATCGGGGGAAGCCAGAGGACTCAGGGCATGCTTCATGAAACAAGTTACATATTTTTAAATAAATAAACTAGAATTAGGTAGCAACTTGATAATGAAATTAAACATGCACGGGGACATGTGACATGACTGGATTCTGTTTCACTGTTCTTTTCCTCCTCAAGCTGGGTGTGGTTAAATCAACTTCTTCTATCAAGTTACACAAAATTTAACAGACAACAGGCCAAAACAACTGGCTGGAAGTACAAACTGCCAAAATAAAAATAGACATTTTTGAATGAAGTAAACATCATAAATATAAATCTGCATTTACGTGACCTGATAAACCACTACTTCTCACTGCTCCATGTTTTAAATACCTGCTGTTTCCTTTATATGTGATGCTTCCAATCATAACATTTCCAATAAAAATATCACATATTATGTTGTTTGAAACATTTTCACACAAAGACTGTTTGTACTATCCCATGTTTCAAAAAAAAGTATGAAAAACTGCCCTTTCCAAAATTTATTACAGTATGTAGTGAAACTGAAAAAATAAACCTGTTTAATCAGACCTTTTACCAGCATCTTCAAATTTGAGTAGTACTAACTGTTGAACTATTTTCTTCTACTATAGAGTCCTCTTTTAGAATAAAGGATTTGCAACTAACAACCATCTATAAAACATCGCAAAATATATAAACAAGCAAACAGTGTCACTTCTCCCATTTACTCAGGGGTACAAACTTTTAGGTTGGAAGGCCAATCTGAATAAGACTGCAGGAAAACTGGAACTCTGGTCATCTGATTAATTTGGCAAAAGTTATCAGATGAATCACAAAGAGGACACATAATTTTCTACAGATGTGGAATCATTTTTTTGATTCTTTTGTAATATAGAATTTGGTAGGACTAGAATTGTTATTAGAACAAAATACTTTAATCAATTTCATCTGTGATTCATCTTTATTGGTAACCATTGGCTGACCAGCATTTATAATCGTAATAGGCAGCATTTGCTCTGTTTGTCACCCAATTGTGTTCTGGACAATTCAAGAATTATTTATAAAATTATTCTTTATCCAGTGATTCGTACATTTAGATCTTCCAGACAAAATCTTCTACAATACAAAAGCAAAGTACTGTGGATGCTGTAGACCTGAAATAAACACAATGCTGGAAAAATGCTCAGCAGTTTGGCAGCCACTGTGGAGAGAGAAACAGAGTTAACAGTTCAAACCACTATGACACTTCTTTGGAACTGAAGAAAGGTAGCAATGTGATTGTTTTTTTTAATGCATTTGAAAAAGTGAAGAGGAACAAGTGGAACAGAAGGGAAGGTAAGGGAAAGGTTATAGTCTGAGGGAGATTCAAGATTAATAGTGCCATAAAACAAAAGGCAAACAGAATGGTAATGGTTAGAGTTCCAAAGTAAATGTTAACAGGTGACCAAAAGTCAACTCTGACAGTCAACAAAAATGTGAAAACAGGAGACAGATACATTTTCCTACATCATAATCAATCTCCCAAGGTTATGCCCACACATTTAACCAATCTATATCCCTCTGTAGACTCCTTGTATCCCCCTCACTACTTTCTTTCCCACCGATTTTCCCTGGTGCACTCTAGTTACAGGTTGCCATCAGCATTCCCCCTAATTAGACCTGAGGTCTGCGCATGGAAGTGACTTCCAGAATCGATGGCAATGCTGTGAATGCCATTGGCATACCAGTCGCCATGTACAGACCCTTGGCTACACATCCACTCAGCTCAGAAGGAACATTGGTTGCCATCCTGCAAATGTCCCCTTTATTCCAACTCTCTGTCTTCTATTAGTTAGCTAAGCCTCTGTCCAGGCCCATACACTACTCCCAACATCATGGGCTCTTATCTGATTAAGTAGCCTTACATGTGGTACCTTATTGAATACCTTTTGGAAATCCAAAAGTATAATATTCACTGATTCTCCTTTAACTGCCCGACTTGTTATCTTTATCAGGCACGAATTCCCCTTCATGAAGCCCTGTTGACTCTGCTTGATCATATTATATATTTCTAAATGCTCTGCTATTACATTTTCCCAATGATAGATGTTAAACTAACTGGCCTATAGTTGCTTGGTTTTTTTTGCCTCTTTTTTTGAATAACGGTACTACAGTGGCAGTTTTCTAATCCTCTGGGACTTTTCCTAAATCAAAAGATTCATGGAAGATTACTACCAGTGCATCCACTGTCTCTGAAGCTATTTTCTTTGAAATCTTCAGATGCAATCCTTCAGCGACAGAGGACTGAAGGTCTGTGACCAGCGTTATGCCGCCACTATCAGTG